ATGCAGTGTATTATCTCTTGAAACTGTACTTTTGATTTGATTTGAAACTGTCTCATTGCTATATGTTTATCAATAAAACTTTGAAAAGAAAAAAAAAAAGTTAGTGTCCTGTTGTCAGGAGTATTTCCATGTCTTCTGAGTTGTTACATCTCTAGGCTTCAGAAGGCTGAGATAGAGGAGATAAAACACCTTTGACATTTTTATATTGGAATGGAGTTTTTCATTTCTTGTCTTCTGTTATATTCACAGATAGTTCTTAACCTTCATCAATATTCTTATATGAATATTCTAGAAGGGGGCTTTATTTCATTCAGTGATTACACTGGAAATGAAGTTGTAAGCATATTTATTTGCCCTATTTCTGACCTGGTGTTTTAACTAGTGCTTCCTTGCTTCCCTGTTGTGCTTTTGTGGAAGTAGAAGAGAGCTATCATAATACCTGTGGGTTTGTAAATGACTTACCATTGTTTTTGGCACTGTATTTTGATTTATTGTGACTTCACTTGGGGTTTGGTTCTTTTTCAGCATTGCTACTTTGACTAGTAAGAGACACTTATTCTGTATGCCAGAGAGTTCTGCAGAAGAAATCACTGTTTGTCCTGGTAAGTCCCCTCTATAATTTTACTGAAGTTTTGAAACTTGGCTACTTACCTTTTCATTTTTTAAATTTTTCTCTATTAAAACTTTTTAGAAGGTTTACATGTGATTGATGTAAATTGGCTCTGATGCTCAGCCTATTTTTTTAGGGATAATTAATTTTGAAATTTGCATGGCTATTTTTTCCTCTATCATCCTCATATAATGGCAACAAAACATCAGTAATAACTTTAATTTTTTATACATTTGGAGCCAGAATATTTCTGTGTCTTGGCTTATGTGTTGTCAAAGTTGGTCCATCCTCAAGTCTGTGTTGTTAAGTAAATTTTCTCTGAGTCTTACAATTTTGGGGCAATTTTTGATTGTCTCATTATGTAGTCCAGGCTGGCCTTGAACTCGCTATGTTTCCCTAGGCTGGCCTCAAGCTAAATGACATTTCTTCTGCATTAGCATCCCGAGTGCTGGGATTACAGGCATGAGCCACCATGCCTGGCTCCTACTTAGTTTTGACACTGCCATTGATTGCGTTTTTGTGTGAAGACATTCCAGAAATTGAATCTTGTGCACAGTTCTGTGATTTATTTTTAATCTTAGACATGATACTTAACCTAGTTAATTTAATTTTATTTTTCATTAATTATAGAGATTAAAAGATGTGTACCTTGCTTTAGGTATAAGAGGTGCTGCATCAAAATTGTGTATGGGTCGATTTAGATACACAAAATA